CAAGAGATTCTGGAAGGCAGTCTTGATACTTCTACTTCCACAGCAGAATCAGACTCCACCATAGAATAATTTAAAATTATTTCTAGAAATGTCCTGTTGTACTTTTTCAATCTTTTTTGCTGAACCCCTCCTATGAACACTTCTTTTTTTTTTTTTAAACACCTGACTGGGATGTGAACTAGGCTATTCATAATGTTAGTCTTAACTCTCCATGTGAATCTCAAGCTTCTTGATGGCACAGCTCTTGACTTCTGGTAACTTGGAGTATCATCAGTTCTTTGTAGTCAAAAGAACTCTGGGTTATAGGGCTGGAGAGATGACTCAGTGCTTCAGAACACTGGCTGCTCTTCCAGAGGACCCTAGTTCAATTCCCGGCACCCACATGGCCAGTCTGTAACTCCAGTTCCAGGAGTTCCTATGCCCTCCTGTAGGCAAAACATGAATGTACATAAAATGAAAATAAATAAATTGCAGGCAAAACACTAATTCACATAAAATAAAACTGGGCAGTGGTGGTGAACACCATTAATTCCAGCACTCAGGGGGTAGAGGCAGGTAGATCTCTGTGAGTTCAAGGCCAGTCTGTTCTACAAAGTGAGTACCAGGACAGACAGAGCTACAGAGAATAAACCCTGCCTCAAACAAACAAACAAACAAACAAACAAACAAACATGTCTGAGGTATAATGTGATTCAAATATACATTGTATTTTACTTAGGGTAAACAGCAAAACCCAACAACTTAAACTTTCACTATTTCTTTGTTGTATTTTCAAATTCCTAATATGAAATATATAAGGCATTAGTAGCTGTATAGGCAGTAGTATTGTGGGACCCAAGAATTTATTCCTTTATGAAAGAATCTGGTTGTGCCTTCCCTCCTGCTCTCCCCTGTGTCCTTCACAGCCTGGTGACCACCATTCCACACTCAGATTCTGTGAGAGCAAGATATAGATTCTGCTTATGCCTGTGATTATGCATACAAACCCACATTTGCTTTTTCTCACTTACAGTATAAACTTAGAGAGAAGGGGTGGGAATAGTACCCAAGTCCTCACACATGTGGTTTTCCAATTTCCTATAACTCTGAGTTAGAATTATTCTGAGTCAAGCCCTGTGACAAATACTTTACAAGTACAAACTCATACAATCTTTACTTAGCACCAAGTAAAGATTTTTCAGATTAAAAAAAAAAAAAAGGAGTGGTCCAGGATCTTAAGTAACTCATTGACTGAATCCAGAAAACAAACTACTCACTTTGCTGCATGCCTCCCTACAGAGTTAACCGAAGGAACTGGCATAAATCTTCTACCAAAAAAACTTGTTAGGTTATTATCATTGTTTTTCTTTTTTTGGGGACAGGTTTTCTCTGTGTAGCCCTGACTGTCCTGGAACTCACTCTGTAGTTGGCTTTGAACTCATGGAAATCTGCCTGTCCTTGCTTACCAGTGCTAGGACAAAAGATGTTTGCCTCCATGCCTGGTTTCTTTTTTCTTTTTTCTTTTTGGTTTTTTTGAGACAGGGTTTCTCTGTATTGTTTTGGAGGCTGTCCTGGAACTCGCTTTGTAGACCAGGCTGGCCTCGAACTCACAGAGATCCACCTGTCTCTGCCTCCCGAGTGCCCATGCCTGATTTCTTTTTTTTTTAAGATTTATTTATTTATTACATATACACCAGATTGAATTGTAGATGGTTGTCAGCCACCATGTGGTTGCTGGGAATTGAACTCAAGACCTCTGGAAGAGCAGCCAGTGCTCTTAACCTCTGAGCCATCTCTCCAGCCCCCCATGCCTGATTTCTTAAGCTATAGTTTTTTTGTTTGTTTGTTTTGTTTTTTGTTTTGGCTTTTTGAGACAGTGTTGTAGAATATTATTCAAAGGTGTGTTACATTTTTTTACGCTGTGGAGCACTTGTTTGATGATGCAAAGATGTGTTGCTTTTGTTTCTGTTGCATCTGTTTAACTCTTTGAAGCCATGATTGTTGGCTTGCCTAAAACACCTGATAGTCTAATAAAGAGCTGAACAGCCAATAGCAAGGCAGGAGAAAGGATAGGCAGGGCTGCAGGAAGAGAGGATAAACAGTAGGAGAACTCTTGGGGGAGGAGGAGCAAGGAGATCCAGGAGCAAAAAATCAAGGAGAAGGACTTCAGGGCACAGCCACCGGCCAGCCACATAGTAAGACCTACAGAAGAGAAGAAAAAAGCCCAGGGCCAAAGGTAGTGGGAAAATTTAAGGTAAGAAAAGCTAGCCGGGCGTTGGTGGCGCACGCCTTTAATCCCAGCACTCGGGAGGCAGAGGCAGGCGGATCTCTGTGAGTTCGAGACCAGCCTGGACTACCAAGCGAGTTCCAGGACAGCCTCCAAAAGCCACAGAGAAACCCTGTCTCGAAAAACCAAAAAAAAAAAACAAAAACAGAAACAAAAAAAAAAAAACCAAAAAAAACCAGCTAGCAAGGAACAGGACAAGCTAAAGCCAGGCATTCATAACAAATAAGACTCCGTGTGTGATTTATTTGGGAGCTGAGTGACAGGCCTCCCAAAAGAGCAAAAGAGTAATGAGTGAAAAAAACCACCACCAACATTTTGGCATTCCAACGTGGGGTTAGAGTAAAAGAAAATACAACTATAAGACAAGGTTTCTCTGTGTAGCTCTGGCTGTCCTGGAACTCACTCTGGAGACCAGGCTGGTCTCGAACTCACAGAGATCTTCCTGCCTCTGCCTCCTGAGTGCTGGGATTAAGGGCATGCATCATCACAGCCCAGCTTCTTTTTTTTTTTTTTAATTTTATTTTCCAGTTTAAATTTAGATAAGAAACAAGGTTGCTTCACAAGTCAGTTCCAGGTCCCTCTCCCATTCCCTCCCTTCCTCCCGTGCCCCCCCCCTTATCCCCTCATTTCTCCAGGGAGGGTGAGGCCCTCCATGGGGGTGTGCATAGTGTGTCATTTCATATAGGGCAGGGCCTAGACCCTTCCCCAAGAGTTCAGGGTGAGAGTGCACCTCACATTGTTCTATGGGAGTCCAAAGTCCGTGTGTATACTTGGGATGGGTACTGATCTGCTGCCCAAGGCTCAGTAGATTCCCTAGGCCTCTTCACTGACACCCAGATTCAGGGGGTCTTGATCAGTCCCATGCTGGCTTCCCAGGCTAATGCCTGGGAACAGCCCAGCTTCTTAAGCTGTCTTTAAAAAGTGAAGCTAGTGAGGCTCAGAACGTGTTAGCAGCAAGAATGTAGTAAAACTACTTACTCATATCTCAAATATATCATTAAGCCTGTAGTAAAACAATAATCAAAACTTAATTAAGGCTGATCACATGACTCCCCAGTAAAAGGGACTCCTGTACAAGCCTGATGACCTTAGTTCAGATGCCTGGGACCCATATAAAAGCCAGCACTCCCAGGGTGAGATGGGAGGCAGAGACAAGAGAATATTCCAGAGGCTTTGGGAAGGCTGGCTTGGAGTACAGTGACAAAAAATAAAAGAGGCCCTGCTTCAGAAACAAGATGCTGGGTACTACACTGGAGGATGTCCTCTAACCTCCTTGCCTGTACCACGACACAGGTACACACACACACCCACACACACAAACACAAACACACACACACACTCACACACACTCACACACTTACATACACACACACTCACACACTTTAAAAATTAATCGCATGTTGGATATAGTAGCGTCAATAATGACTTCAGTAAGCATAACAATGACAATAGTAACAAAATATTAAAGGTTTTATATATGTTATACATAATATATAAACATATTAAAGATTACATATAATGACTCAATGTTATTCAGAATAAGCAGATATGAATAACCAGATTTTAGTCAGACATTTTCTCATATCTTACAAGAAACTGTCCAATTTACTTTGTTTCTTCCATTCCAGAATTTCGAAATGTGTGGTATATGGTGTGTGTGCCCCTGCGTTAATGTACACTCACCTGTGCATGTTAGCCTGGGGACCAGAGGTGGACTTCGATCTGCATTGCTGTCCACTCTAGCATTTGAGGTAGTGTCTCTCACTGAACCTGGAACTCATGCTTTTTGCTAGACGGGATGTTCAGAGAGCTCTGGGGATGCTGTCTTTCCATACCTGCTTCACAGAGATGGGGTTACTGGGGTGTGTTGCTGCATCTGGCTTTTAGATGGTGTTGTGGATGTGAACTCAGATACTCACTGTACCCACTAAGCCATCTTTCAGTTCTAGTTCAGATTTTTTCCCTGAGACAGGATTTCTCTGTGGCTTTGGAGGCTGTCCTGGAACTCACTCTGTAGACCAAGCTGGGATTAAAGGCCTATTCCAGAACTTTTAAAACATATTTTTCTAGGTGAGTCAGAGACAGCATCGTGGGAGTCAAGCTCCTTAACTGCCTTGCCCAAGCTACTTATACAGCATGCCTGCTCCTTAGTCCCTGTGTGATTCAGGCACCACGGAAGCTGAGGATCCATTCTGGATCCATTGGTGAGAGAGTTGAGCTAAGAAATTGTGCAAAGTTAGTATAAGGCAGTTCAGGGCAGTGTCCCTGTAGGAACACACCTGACTGTGTTAGACTTAGGGGACAATGGAATGGAAACTTATCTGCCTTCTAGAAATATGATGCTAACTTTCCACTAATCCCACAGTATCTGGGACTATTTTGAAGTAAGAATGTTACTTTGTCCTAAACCTTTGTTATCCTAAATTGGACAACAAAGGCTGAGATTCTAAAGGCTAAACAGAAAGCAAAACCAGAGTATAATTGATAAAAACCTGGATAGAAAGTCATGTTCAGTTCGTGTATCACCATACAAAATTAATTTTCTGACAAATGCGGGCTGGGGTTGGCCATTCATGAAACTGCCACACCTGTCCTCCCCTGTGAGTCATCAAGGCCTCCTGGCAAGGCTTGTCACCAACTGGCCTCTCTGTGTGATTGAAGATAAAAGGAAGGGCCCCAGCTGCCACAACCACCGTTTTTGTTGGTGGCTATGGGAGACACTGGATGTGTCATGAGCTTGTCATGTGCTAACCCTGTAGGCACATACAAGATTGTTAATTCTCCTCCTGTTGTTTCCCATCTTTGGTCAAAAGTTGGGAAATCTATCTGTTCCATTCTTGGCCTTTTAGCCTGTCAGACTCCATCAAGCTGAACCCACAGGGTCTCTGTGAAGCGGTCCGTGGCTCCCTCAGGTGAATTAGTCTCTGCCCTGCTTTGGCATTTCCCCTTCTAGTTGCTAGATTTTACTTTCTTCTGATGTGTTGGTGACTATTCTTACTAGTTTTTAAAGATTTTTTATTTATCTTTTGTTTTGTTTTGATTTTTGAAACAGGATTTCCTTGTGACCTGTCCTGGAGCTCACTCTATAGACCAGGCTGGCCTCGAACTCACAGAGATCCCTCTGTTTCTGCCTCCCAAGTGCTGGGATTAAAACTATTTATCTTATTTATGTTTTGGTCTATCTATAATCTATCTAGCTACCTACCTACCTATCTATCTGTCTGTCTATCTATCATCTATCTACCTACCTATCATCTATCTATTTATGAGTTTATGTGCAACATGCCCCTGTGTGCAGGGGCCCTAGAGGGTCAGATCCTCTGGAATTGGAGTTGCAGGCATTTGTGAACTGTCATGTGGGTGCTGGAAACCAAACTTGGGTCCTCTGCAAGAGCATTAAATTCTCTTAATTGAAGAGCCATCGCTACAGCCCTTGTGACTTTTTTTTTTTTTTTTTTTGAGACAGGGTCTCACTGTATAGCTCTGGATGACTGTTCTTGAGAAACAGTCCAGAACAGGATACGATCATGTCAGCCCCAGATTCTCTTTGCCACTATTCTGGCACACGGTGAGTACTTGGCAGTACATGCAGAATTTGTAAATGAACGAATGATTGAAAGAGCAAATGGTCCTTTGGGTCCTTTCTCTAACATCCGATGGGTTTGTGACACCCTTCCCTCACGAGGCTGCAGTTTTTCTCCTTGTTTCTGAAATATTTTCTCATTGTTTAAAATTGAAGTCCAAAATTAGGTAAATTAAAATTTAAATTCTCTAAGGGAAATCAATCAACTGTTTTTTTTATTATTATGTAACAAGGGGTAAAGGGCTTAAAATGCGAATGTCACTTGAATTAACATAGAGACTAAAGCTTATTGAAACTAAAGTGTAACCCATCAGTCAATCAAAAAGTGTAAATAACTGATACTAGGGTCTTTTCTGTTTTGACAGGGGGTAGAGGTCAGAGAGAAGTCGGTGTTTGCGCCTTCCCAGGGACAGGAGTTCAAAAGGTCATCTGGGAAGCTACAAAACACAGCAAAGGAGATTTGGGGACATGGATTTTGTGCTTCCTTAATGTTTCATATTTAGAGAGCTGGACTGTAACTCAGGTATTTACGCTGTGAAAACAGTGTTGGGAGCTCTTTAGTCCATGAACAGTGTTTCCGGAGTGTGCGTGTGTAACTGTGTGTGTCTGTGTGCACTTTAATGAGTGGTTTCCTTACAAAGGGATTACATTTCCAGAGGAACTAAAGAAACGGTTTCATAATCTAGATTGAATCCTAAAACATCTCTACAGAATTCTCTGAGTACTTCACATGATTAAATAAATGTTGCTGGGCATGCCCTACATAGGGAAGACTTGACGATAAAACACAACTTGATTTTGAATTGAGCTTCTTAATTAGGTGTGGGTGGGTATCATATATATATATATATCTTATAACAAATGGATAATATCAAAGAACCTTCGACTTATCAGATTATTCCCATAGGGCTGTTTAAGCAGCTCAGAGTGCTTTGCACGTTTCTGGTTTGTTTTCTTAACACTTTAGAAGTAGAAAGTCAGTAGGTGCCAAGATCTGGAGCTTTTCAGTGGGTTGAAAGCATGTTGTTTATCTTGTGCCAAGGGATCAGCTTGCCATTTATTTATTTATTATTTATTATATCCCCCTTAAACCAGAAGCAGAGCCCAGGAGCCAAATGTCCTCGGTTGTTACTTCTGGCCCCACAACTGGTCAGCAGTGGGACATTTTCTCTTCAGATCCTGGTGATGCTAGTGGGTCTTGGAGCCCATCCCAAGTCAAATAATTTTGTACCATTTTATTCAATAGCAACAACTAAGAAGTAGTTTACATAGCAGACCAGCAGCAAGCAGAGATTGGACTAGAACTCCCTTCTCTTCCTTCCTTCCTTCCTTCCTTCCTTCCTTCCTTCCTTCCTTCCTTCCTTCCTCCTTTCTTCCTTCCTTCCATCCTTCCCTTCTTACTTTCTTTTTGAGACTGTGTCTCTCTACGTAGCCATGGCTGGTTGTCCTGGAACTCTCTATGTAGCCCAGGCTTGCCTCAGACTCACGGATATCTGCCTGCCTCTGCCACCTGGGTGCTAAAATTAAAGGTATGCACACAATGCCTGGCTAGAACACCCTGAAAAAACATAATTTTCTCAGCACCCCAAAAGCTTGGTTATACCCTTATCCATTTAATCCTGATCCCTAACTTTTACCATTGGATTAGTATTCCTGTTTTTGTATTTCATACAAACAATATTGTGTTATATGCTCTCTTACCCTTCCTCTCTCTCTCTCTCTCTCTAGGACAGTCTCAGGGGTCTTAGACTGGCCTCAAGCTTGCTATGATGCCAAGGATGTCCTTAATTTTTGATCCCCATTTCTCTATATCCTGAGAGTAGATGTTACAGGCATTTACCACCATACCCTATTTGTGCTGTTCTAGGTATTAAACTCAGTGCTTTTTATATGCTAGGCAAGTACATTACCAATTGAGCTACATCCCAAGATCAGTATTATATGTCTCTTAATATCTCTAGGATTCATTAGTATTTATAGCTAGCAATAATTGTTCTTTAAAAAGACCACTTTTAGCCGGGCGTTGGTGGCGCACGCCTTTAATCCCAGCACTTGGGAGGCAGAGGCAGGTGGATCTCTGTGAGTTCGAGGCCAGCCTGGTCTATAAGAGCTAGTTTCAGGACAGCCTCCAAAGCCACAGAGAAACCCTGTCTCAAAAAACCAAAAAAAAAAAAAAAAGACCACTTTTTAGTAGTTCATTGTAGAAATAAACATACTACATATAAGTTATCTACTTGTTTTGATGCATTTAAGGTGTTTTAATTTTCCTTCCCTATCTTCCTCCCCCTCTTCCTCATTCTGGAGACTAAAATCAGGGCCTTACCATATCAGGCAAGTGCTTACTGCTGAGCTACATTTTCGGCTTCTAAGTTCTTAAGGACAGCTTATTATTTATTTTTAATTTGTGTGTGTTAGCTGCTCACAGAGTTCAAAGGCACCGAATCCCTCTGTAGTTGGAGCTACAGGCAGTTGCCAGTTGCCTAGCATGGGTGCTAGGAACTGAAGTCTGGGTCCTTTGCAAGAGCTTGGTGCGCTCCTAACCACTGAGCCACCTCTTCAGCTACTTAAGTACATATTTTATGAGCATTCTTGTTGCTGTGCTTTTTCAGACTCTATCCCCTTGTCTCTGGATCTGCCACTAAGTGTGAAATTGTTGCTGCATATGACGATCTCATAGGTGCAGCTAAGCAGCTTCCAAGGTGATAACACTGATTTTACCTTCATCATCCATGTTGGAGTGTTTCAATTGCTCCACCTCCTCGCCAACACTTGCCAGTATAACCAGTCTTCAGTCTTTTGGAGCACTTTAATAATAAGCCCACTGTGTCGGGACAGTGACCTGACGCTTTGTTCTATACACTTAGACAGAAATCACATGTTCAGAACTAACAGTGCCACCCAGAAGTGTGGAGAATCAGCGACAGTCATGTTCTTCATGCTGCTGGCAGAGGCATCACAAAGTTGTCAACAGTAGCAAATGATGGTGGAACTCCCTCATGTCGTCAAAAGGACCCATGCTCCTTTCAGCTATTTCGCCACAGTGGTGGTAGCAGGGAGGCTTCCTTCTCTAGCTTGAGAGTCTCTTTCCCATTTTAATGTGTATTTTACCCCTGTCCCCTAGATGACAGAGTCTGGGAGGCTGGTTGGCAAGGACCTTTTCCACTGAGCCTTGTTGAGAAGAGGTCAAGTTCACACACGGTGGTCCACTGAGGTCAAGGGAGCATCCACTCAAAAGTGGCAAGTATGGGCATAGTTCCACCCCCAGAGGAAGACTATGCCCTTTGTTTGCAAAGACAGCAGTTTCTTGGAAACCCAATGAGACTAAATGGTCCATTTAGGATTCAGCTGTTACCCTTGCTGTTGACAGCAGCAGGTAGGCTTGAGCCAGTGGTCCATGGTAGGCACTGCAGAAACATTTACTTATTTAAGAGTGTACCTAGGTAAGCATAGACAAAGAGACTCAAGATGTTTGGACTCTGAATCTAATATGTACTATAGAGTGAGGGCTTTCCATACCTGAGAATCTCTAGGCATTTTCAATTATTTCTGCCCACTCCACAAATACACGAATCAGATTAAGGAATAGCTAGAGAGACTTGAATTAAATGCGTATTCCCATAATGGTTATTATCTTTTTTCTTGGCCTGACATTATTAAAGCAAGCTGAAATAACAGGAGATAAGTAGCTATTATAAATGAACCATTAAGAGCAACAGCAAGGCAACATTACCATTGATCTCTCATGACTTTCACTTTATAAAAACTAATGTACTGGATTGCCTTGGTGTTACCTACTTTAGCAATAAATCTGTTGTGTCAGGACAGTGACCTGATGTTTTCTTTTACATTAATTTATAGTGTATTGATTTAACTCTCAGACTACCTCACCTTATTGATACCACGAGCAGCCATTTCTTAGTTGAAAGACAAAAGAAGCGTGGACTAGAACCACCTGGCAGCTCCTTTACCCCCTCACAGTCCTGAAGATCAAATCTAGGGCCTCACACATGATAGGCAGGTATTTTGTCACTGGACTTTAACATCAAGCCTCTTTTAAGTTTGTAAAAATAGGTTTGGACACTCTCACTAGGTTTCCCAGGCTGGCTTTGAACGTGTGATTGTTCATTCTAAGTCTCCTGGGCAGCAGAGATTACAGGCCTGGGCTTCGAGACCCAGCCCTCCCCCCCCTTTTTTTTTGATAGAGTCTCACAGTGTAGCCTAGACCGGCTTTGAATTTGAGATCTTCTTGCTCCAGTCTTGCAAGTGTTGGGGATTCCAGGGGTGTACCACACCATGCCTGGTTCTGGAAGACTGTTTTAAACGAGGATTTCCACCCAATCAATAGTCCAACAAATTTGACCTTGTCTTCAAGTTTACCATAACAAAAAATGAGATGTTTGGATCCACCATCTATTTTGAAAAGTTTATTTTTAGATGTTTTGAGAAATCTGAGCGCCCCCCCCATTTTTAGAGGAGTGAGGATTAGGGATATGTTTTAAGACACTAGTGGCTTGTTTTTTTGTGCATTTATTTATTAGTGAGTCATAAGGTAGAATAGGAAAATGAACTCAAGTACCAGACAGGTTAATGTAACAACATTAAACACTGAGATGGTGCCACTGAGCCTTTTCTGTCCCTCAAGCAGAGTGTGTCGCTTTCCCACTTACTGACATGAGCCAGGCACCACACCACCACTCTCTCACAGGTTCTAGCCCACAGACTTCCTCTTGCTGCCAGTTTCAAATTTCTATCAATGGCCGGCTCTGACTGCAGCCCTGTTGAACCTCCCGCCCATCTGCCCATGCCTTGAACCTCCGGCCCATCTGCCCATGCCTTGAACCTACTGCCCAGCTTTCAGCTTCTGAGCTTTGTTCACTAGTTTCAGGGCAAAGTGTAATGAATCCTTTAAAACACACTCTGAGGCCAGGCGGTGGTGGCACACACCTTTAATCCCAGTGCTTGGGAGGCAGAGGCAGGCGAATTTCTGTAAGTTGGAGGCCAGCATGGTCTACAGAGTGAGTTCTAGGAGGGCAGGGCTGCACAGAGAAACCCTATCTGAGAAAACAAACAAACAAACAAAAAACCCCCCCAAAACTCCCAAACAGGAAGCTCACCCACTTTCCTCCTTCCTCATTGGCCTGATGCTTCCTTTGCATTTCACAGTTCTTTCTTTCTTTCTTTCTTTCTTTCTTTCTTTCTTTCTTTCTTTCTTTCTTTCTCTCTCTCTCTCTCTCTCTCTCTCTCTCTCTCTCTCTGTCTCTCTTCCTTCCTTTTTTCTTGTCTTATTTTTTTTGTTTGTTTTGACTTTTTAAGACAAGGTTTCTCTGTGTAACCCTTAGCTGTCTTGGAATTCACTTTGTAGACCAGGCTGGCCTTGAACTCAGAGATCTCCCTGCCTCTGTCTCTTGACCACTGGGATCAAAGGCATGCACCACCACCACTGGCTGTATGTCACAGTCCTTAATGAAGGAAAACATAAAAATATCCACATATCATTTGCATATCATAAGCATAACTCGACTTGGAAGGTAGCAATTGGAAAAAATCTATCCTATTACTATTATTTTTCCCTGTCTAATACACATAGCCATCTGAAAGGAGACAGGTATGGTGGCAGACACCTTTAGCCACAGGCCTAGAGAAGCAGAGACAGGTGGATCTCTGTGAATTCCAGGGTAGTCAGGGCTACATAGAGAGACCTTGTTTCTTAAAAAAAAAGGGGGGGGATGGGATGGGGCGGGGAGGGAAGAATATAGAAGGGACCCGAAATTCACCAAGGAAGAGGAAGCAAGGGTTTACGGTGCTTCCAATTCATGCTATTAATTTCATCTGTGATAGGTCCAAGTCCAAATCAGAGTAATTAGATGGACAGCCCTACTAACTGTACTCAAGCCACCATTGGCAGCAACACACACACATTTACAGTTAAGTCTTGTCCTCCTCAGCTGCAGAAAACTGACAAACACGGAGTTGTGCAGGCATGGGGATCCAAAAGGGCATTCGCTACAATAAAAGCACCAGGTGGCCACTCAGGGTGATGTCATCTTCTTCCGTAATTGTCCCTTTTATTATCACTGCACCAAGAAAAGGCAGGATCAGCTAGTTCTAACCTGCCTTTTTTTTTTTTTACATCCCTTGCTTTTTAAAAACGTGCAAAGCAGCACAGAACCATAAATGTTTATTCAGATAAAGAGGTATTTGTTCCGGTTCTTAGCCTTTAAGGGGCAACAGATTTTCAGCTATAGCACATTGAGCTTTTAACACAGCCACTTATGCGCTACAAGACATCACTTAAGATGCATATGGATGGCATGGTTAATTTCCTGAATTATCACTAGAAATCATCAGTATGACACAGAGAAAGGAGACTTGAAGCCCAGGCCCAACAGTGAATTGACAGCCATCTTTAACCACCATGACCCAGGAATGACCCTGAGCGCTGCTGGATGCAGCAGCGAGATCTATTGCCGAGCAGAGCACCAGCGAGAGCCATTGCAAGGCATAGGAATCAGGTGTCTCACAGGCTTGGAGACTCCCACTGTGCAGCAACCGCAGAATCACTCCAAGGTTTGCTGTGTGTGGGGATGACCAACAGAAGGCAAATACCAGACTCTTTATTAACAGAGTTGTGTCTCGTGTTTATTACCTCTGCTTTGCAGTATTTTAACACCCAGAACCATTAAGTTTTTTTTATATTATTTAAAATGTTCTGATTTCACATTGTTTTCAATTGCCTAAGGCAATGTAAATTCTCTCTGTACATACACAAGTCAATAATTTTAATTCTGAAGTGCCTAAAATGTCACACGTCATTTTATGATAAAATATGCCCTTTATTTTGCTCTTCCTGGCTCTTTAACCCTAAAGCCTGCTCGGAGTTTGCCTGTCTTGCTTGCCTCAATCTTTGTAGCTGGGTCAACAATGGTAGCTGTGGGGAAATGCGCACACGGGGCTGCAGAGTGAGGCCATGAATGCCTCTGCCAGGCTGCCCTGTCCCAGAAAGGCTGTGTTAAAGTTGCTCGGTATTTACCTTGTTTTTGTTTAAGTTTTTTTTTTTTTTTGGTGCTGTATCCAGGTCTTCACTCATGCCAGGGCCCTGCCTCTAAGCTGTGTCTCCTCTCTCTGCCGCTTATTTGAATAAAGCAGTTATTAGTAAGTGGTAACCAAGCAACCAAATTGTTTGGTACCTTATTAGCATTTAGTGAATAAAGTAGCTCCCCACTTCCCTGTGAGAATTGTTTTCCTAGGATTTTCATGAATGAGAAGTAAATATGCCTACCTAGAAAAAAAGATAGTGATTAAACTATTTGTAAGATTAGTTTATATATGCCTACCTAGAAAAAAAGATATTGATTAAACTGTTGGTAAGATTAGCTTATACATAATAACTAAGATGTTTGCACATCAATAACTGAAAATGCACTGATGGTTTATGAACAACTTTCTGTATTAGTCACCTGTCTTGCTGGGATCAAATATATGACAGAGAGAACTTGAGGGAAGAAACATTTATGTTGACTCACAGTTTCAGAGAGGGCAGTCCATGGCTGTTCCGCACCATGTGCTTGGGCAGAACATTGTGAAAAGAGAGCGGAGAGGAGGGGACTCTTTACCTCATCAGGAACAGAAGCAGAGGGGAAAGGGGCAGGGACGAATGCACTCAAGCACCCAGTCACCTGCCTCCTCAAATTTCCAGAACCTTCCCCAGCACCAGTGGGAGACTGTGGGAGACATTTCATATTCAAACCGTAACACCTCCATGTGTAAAAGTCATTGAAAATTAGCCACCTACCATAAATGCACCAATAACTCTGTGATTCTTTTATTTTCAGTTTCTCAAAGGCTACCGAGACTTGTTCATAGATCCCGAGAAACGGGCTGGTGACTTCAGAAGTGCCACCGGCAGCAGGCAGCACAGTGGAGGACTAGATTCGCAGGTCCTGGGGGTGTGTGGTCCCCAAACAGCACAGACAAGGAGTTCCCACACCAGCTGGCAGAGGGCTCGTGTTTGCATCATCTGCAAATGGTAAATGTTTTGAACTGAATCCTTGTAAAGATTTTTGCTGACTCTTCCTCCGTCCAGGGCTGTTAGAAGTTTCTGCCCTGTGCACTTTCACGCCCGTGCTTTGCCCAGGACAGAATCTCATGATTCTTTTTTCCTTGCTGTGCTTTAATTGAGAGACACAGGCAGGATCTGCATTTTCTGATGGGTTCTAACCAAATTCTAACCTGAGCGTCTACACGAGACCCCTATGGTGTAGAAGAATTTGTAGCTAAAGGAGAGTGTTGTCTCACCAGCTCAGAGATGAGTCGGGATTTTAATCCAGTTCATAACCTTTTGTAAACAGCTGCGTCATACTAGGAGACCTATTCATTATTGCTCAGCATTGGTCCTGGTGCCTACAATGAAGAAATGACAACTAGTGAGTTGTTAACTGACTAACACTGTTAAATGAATGATTGACATGTGTAAGTGTGCCCCCATGGACACCTGTCAACGCCAGGACAGTAGCACAATCTTACTATTGACCGTTGAAGAGATTCACATGCTCTATCACAACCTTCGTTTGTTGCTATAACAAAATTGTGCAGTTTGCCTCTAGCTTTTCTTTCTGAAAACAATCTTGGAATCTTCCTTGTTTCTAGTCCATCCCAGTCAGGGTTACTATTGTTCTGATGAAATGCCATACCAAAAGCTAGTTGGGGAGGAAAGGACTTCTTAGGCTTACATTTTTCACATCCATAGTCTATCACTGAAGGAAGCCAGGACAGGAACTCAAACAGGGCAGGAACCTGGAGGCAGGAGCTGATGCAGAGGCCATGGGAGGGTGCTGCTTACTAGCTTGCTCCTCATGGCTTGCTCAGCCTGCTTTATTATAGATTCCAGGACCAGCCCAGGGGTGGCCCCACCCACAGTGGGCTGAGCCCTCCTGCATCAGTCACTAATTAAGAAAAAACTTATGCTCCACAGGCTTTCTTACAGCCGGATCTCATGGAGGCATTTCTCAGCTGAGGTTCCCTCCTCTCAGACGACTCCAGTTTGTGTCAAGTTGACATAAAACCAGCCAGTACACAGTCAGCGATCAGGAAGTATTTCTCAAGTGTCCATCTTTGTGTTTTCTACTTTCTTTCTTTTCCTTTTCTTTCCTTTTCTTTTTGGCCATGGTCTCTTGCATTTCATGCTAGCCTTGAACTTGCTATACTACCCAGGAGAAACTTGAATTCCTGATTTGTCTGTTCTGCCTCTCAAGTGCTGGGATTGTGCCCAATTTTCGAAGTGCTGAGGACTGAACCCAGGGCATTGCATACACGAGACAAGCAATCCACCAGCTGAGACACAGTCCCAGTCCTCACTCCTGATTTCTATAACCGCAGTCTGAGAATGTCATCGGAGCTGCTGTCGTTCAGGAAGGAAGTTAGGCCACCCAGCTTTGTTACTGCAATAGTCTTCAAATGTTCTGCTATAAACGTTTCAAACGCAGTCGGATATGGCAGTTGGAGAAACTGATATACTCAAGAACTGCATTCATTTCTCATTACTGAGCTGTCCTGATCTCACCTTAATCCGCACTCAGCACAGTCACAGTGCAGGCATTCAGTTATGGGTGAATTAATCACGGGATTTAACGGCCATTGAAGCCACACTGCAGATGCCCACTTAGGTATTTTGATAAGTAAGAGTCACGATCTCACCTTGAGCATCTTTCCTTGGAGCACACACTTTGGTGCTGTTGTCAAGACGACACAGCACGGCTTAATTACAATAGAAAAATCAATAACCTACGGCCCAGGCCCAGCTCTTCAGGTGATTTACAGGCTCATATAACTGAAAGGGCAGGAGCAGTATTCAAGAGGAGCTGGCTAGAGCTTGTGTGATGTTGTAAGAACCTGTCATGGTTGCATACTACCATCCGCTGTGCTTGATTCATTCTCAGGCTGTACAAGATGTCTTTGAGCAACCAAGGAATGAATAGAAAGGAACTAGGGGGCAAGTGAGGTCTGTGACCGACAGGACTTTGGTTCACTTCCTGTTGGAGCAGCAAAGACATTTGAAAGGTTCTGTACTTCTATGTTCGTGGATTTGACCATTTTTTGGGGCAGGTTTTTATTTATTATCTTTATTTATTTATTCATTTATTATGAGACAGGGTTTCTCTGTGGCTTTGGAGACTGTCCTGGAACTAGCTCTTGTAGACCAGGCTGGTCTCCAACTCACAGAAATCCACCTGCCTCTGCCTCCTGAGTGCTGGGATTAAAGGCATGCACCACCACCGCCCGGCTTTATTATTATTTTTTAATGTGCATTGTGTTTTGCCATGGGTATCAGGTCCCCTGGAACTGGAATTACAGACAGTTGTGAGCTTCCATGTGGGTGCTGGGAATTGAACCCGGTTCCATCTCTCTCCAGCCCCAGATCTGACTATCTTTAACTGTGGTCTTTCTCCTGGAGAATTAAGGCATTGACTTACAGTGTAATTGTTTTCTTTTCTGAAGATTGAACTCCTTAAAAAATACTTATGAGTATCCAGCTCAAATGTTATTTTAATTGAGTGTATGGCATTTTTGTTATCATTGTTTTTATTTTTGTTTATTTACGTTGAGACAGTCTTGCTATGTATGTAACCTTGGCTGGCCTGAAACTCACTCTGTAGCCCACACTGGTCTCGAACGCATAGAGATCTGCCTGCCTCTGCCTCCCAGTGCTGATATTAAAAGCATGCACTACAACACGCAGCCTGTTATTGTGTGTGTGTGTGCGCGCGCTTGCAGCGTGAATGTAAAGGTCAAAGGACAGATGGAGGAGGCTGACTCTCGGTCTACCGTGTGGGTCTTTGGAATGGAATTCAGGTGGCCAGGCTTGGTGCCTGTACCTGCTGAGCCACCTCGCAACCTCCTATATTATTTTATTTTGATTTTTCAAGACAGGGTTTCTCTGTGTAAGGGTCCTGACTGTCTTGGAACTCAGTTGGTAGACCAGGCTGGCCTCAAACTCACAGAGATCCCCTTGCCTCTCCTCTGCCTCCCTAGTGCTGGGATTAAAGGTGTGCACAACCACTACCCAGCTATTTTAATACTTTAAATAATAGTTTTGGTTTAAACACAGACAAACTGTTACTTTGAATCTCCTATGTAAGGTTTGAAAGGCAGGGATAGCTACGTTCCAAAAGAAATCAGTGGTTATAATTTTTTTATTAAAATTTTTAATTGGGACTGCAATCAGAGAGATTATAAATGGAAATCTGCCCATGGGGGTTGGCAGTATCTTTTTAAATGAAGTATCTAGCGTAGTTTTTACTAAGATGCCTGTGAACAGTGTTCCCTGAGCCTGTGATTTGGAAAACCCCCATGAGATTTTGGTCTCTGTAGCATATCCATTGATATTGATCTGGTGAAATGAGGCAGGGTGAGAGAGCAATTAGAAATAGTTATTGATTTATCTATCCAACAAATATTGTTGGGGTTCCTCTGGTGTGCCAGGCACTATGAGTGATTTAAAGAAGAAATATCAAAGACTGTGATTACAAGGAACTTACTCTCCATTGAGATAAGCCCTTAGACAAAGCAGAATAATTTTGGAAATTCTGAAAAGCTCCAATAATTGCCTGATCTTTGCTGTGAGATGGTTACAGGACACAGAGGTAAGAAGATCAAAAGTTGGAGGCCAATTGGAACCACATAGGGAGTTGAGTTCAACCTGAGCTACATAGGAGGACCCTGTCTCAAAGAAGCTAAGAGGCTGGTATCCAGTGGTGTTGCCCCCAAAATAACACACAGAGACTCTATTTGGTACAATGTGGTCAGTCAATGTCTGGGGCTTCTCATTGGCTAGTTCTGTCGTGACTACTAATATATATTTCTATAAGGTCTTATCTTACTGAGAACACTAGGCTCATGTGGCTTCTCCTCCCGGGAATCACATGGTGACTCTACTCTTGACTACATTTCCCAGAATCCTCCTCAACTTCTAGCTCCACCTAGGAACTTGGTTCCTATTGGCCAACAGTGCTTTATTCATCAACCAACAAGACAAGCATATACACAGAAGAACTTCCCCAATCTCAGTGGTAGTATACTTGGCAAGCATATATAAAGGCTCAGATTCTAGGCTGAGCAAGGTATCTCTCTCTATAGAATTATATAGAGTTAGATCTTGGACCCAGGGCGTGGCCTCATATATTGTCCCAGTCACACCATTGTCTCCTATGTTAAGACAGTCTAGATTGGACTTATGTAGGTTCCCCATTTGTCAGACCCGACTCAGTGATCTCTCACCAGCTTGGGTGAAGGTGAAGATGGTGGTGGTGGTGGTGATGGTGGGGAGGTGATTTGTTCCTGCCTCAATGAGATAATGGGACAGACTTAGTAGACTTCCTAGGGGAGTCCTTACCCTCTCCGAGGAGCAGATGGGAGGTGGGTGGGGAGGAAAGTAGGGGGAGCTGGAGGAGAGCAGAGAGGGGGAGCTGGGATTGGAATGTAAAATATAAATTAACAAAATAAAAAAGAACAACAAAAAAGAAGGGCCCAGATTCAGTCTAGTACACACACACACACACACACACACACACACTTACTTCAACCAAAACATAAAAACCAAACCAAACCAAAAACCCAAACCTAAGCAAAACCCATCATAAATAAATAGACATGCAAACAAATAAATAGATAGAAAGAAAAAATTGCCTAACTTGGCAGAGCCGGTCTGTAATTCTAACTACTTGGGCATCTGAGGAGGGGCAATTAAGAATTGAAGTCCTGCCTGGCCTACACAGTGAGTTCAGGACCAGTTTGGATAAGTCAGCAAGACCCTGTCTCGAAATAAAGGCGGCTGGGGCATGCTCAGTGCTAGGGTACTCAAGCAGCACACTGGAGGGAGGGAGGGCCTCAGTAACAAAGCCAGCAATGGCAAGCGAGGACTAATTACTGGGGATGCGGCTTAGTCACTGAACTCATGCCCAGTGTGTACAAGGTTCAACCCTAGTCCCTCCAAAGGAAAAGGATCACGCAGATGTCTCTTGGAAGAAGAAGAAGGAGAAGAAGAAGGAGGAGGAGAAGAAGAGGAAGAAGAGGAAGAAGAAGAAGAAGAAAACAACACTGACAACTGTTAAGGGACAGGAAAAAAAAAACACCCGAAATCCCTTCCCACAGTCTCCTCAAACTAGAGCTTAGCATTGTTATTCTGGCATATTTTCTTTGGACTGTTTTTTTTTTTTTGAAGAAATCAACTTTCCTCCCTGGTTCTTGTTGGAGCTGTAGAGTTCATACGCGCAATTCTGTATCCTGCCTTTCTTTTTTCTTTCTTTCTCATTTTGTTTTGTTTTCAGAGAGAGTTTTCTTATGGTGTCCTGACAGGCTTGTCACTTTCCACCCTCCTGCCTCAGCTCTCAAGGGCAGTGCGATTTCAGGGTGTGCCGCCATGTCTGACTGACCTTTTTACTCATAGTTACTTTATATCATGTGCATTTTGTTTAACTTTTAAAAATGCTACATGCATAATTTTTTTTTGGTTTTTCGAGACAGGGTTTCTCTGTATTGTTTTGGAGGCTATCCTGGAACTCACTCTGTAGACCAGGCTGGCCTCGAAGTCACAGAGATCCGCCTGCCTCTGCCTCCCGAGTGCTGGGATTAAAGGCGTGCGCCACCAATGCCCGGCGTTGACATGCATAATTTTTAACAACTGTAAAATATTTCATTTATTTATCATCATAATTTATTTAAGTGTATCTACTGCTGGGCTTTTAGATTTTTTGCATTATTTGATAATATGAACATTTGGTATTATGAACATTTCTAGCATACATTGGTGGGTAAAAATGCAGCATTTTGCATGACTTCCTAATGATGGCCCAAAAGTGAGGTTATTCACAAGGATCCTGATTTGTGTAACCCAGTTCCTTTGTAGGAAGTACCAGTTGGCTTTCTTAACAAGTGTCCATGGTACCATTGCAGCAGTAGGAATGAAGAGAAAATTAAGTTTGTACCAATTTTACTTTTTTTGAGGTAGTATTTCATCATTTTCCAATACTGTCACCTTCCGCTTCTTATCTTGACTCATACGTTTTTAAAAATCAGATTCTCTGCTTCCACAGCACGGCACCTGTACCTCTGCTATGGTGCTGGCCTCGGCTCCATGAACAAGATCTTCAGAGAAAATGGCAGAAAAGCAGCGTCATGCCTAGCCACTTCAGCAGAGGCTCCAAGAGTGTGTAGCCTGCTGGGTCTTCCAAGCCCTGGAGGAGCTGAAAATGACGGAAAAGGACCAAGATTGGGGCCACAAGCTAACAGAGAACGCTGGAGAAGATCTACCTATCCAGCTACCAACAAAAAGCATTAGAACAAAGAATGCTGGATTAATAAGTTGTTTCATTCATGAAAAAAAAGAAGAAAGAAACAAAAACAGGAAAAAAACCCCTCAAATTCCCCACCTAGAACCTAGCATTTACAAGAAGGAAGCTATGGGGGTAGGGGTGCACTCTGGAGGCAGAGGCAGGTGAATCTGTGCAAGTTCTAGGCCAGCCTGATCTACAGAGTGAGTTCCAGGAAGCCAGGACTGTTACACAGAGAAACCTGTCTTGAAGAAAAACAAAAGGAAAAAGTTAGAAATTTTAGCATTTGTTTTGAATATAAACACAACTCTATCACTTTTCACGGGGAATATAAAATAGAACAATTAAGATATGAACTGTGATAAAGAGTTGTGTGGGTGTGGTTTCATTCTGTCTAAGTGGGTAACTGTATTCTGCCTTTCTCTTCATTGGGAAATGGGATGGCACACTGTCTACATAATGAGAGGAAGTGAGGTGAATGACCCAGGCATCACCACACAGCCTTAGGGACCTGTGTAAGGGTTACTTGAGTACAAACATTGTGTTGCTGTCACAGGTGATCTGATAACCCAGACAACTCCGGAGTAACTACCGGGCAGGTGCCATATACTGGGTGGACATTCTGGATGGAGAGATAGTTCATGTCTTGGGCAGGAGGGAGCCGGACAGTGCAAGATTTCATGCTACTAAACATGCTTAGCAATTAAAAACCTATGGACTGTTTATTTCTGGAAATTTCCATTGACTGTTTTTTGGACAGTGGTTGATGGAGAATAACTAAAACCTCAGAAAACAAGTCTTAGACAGAAGGGTACTATTGTGACTTGTCTAAACTTGAGATAAGCAGCTGTTGAATAGTGCTATGCCAGGGTAACATTTGTAGCTAGGGGAGAGTCTTCGTGATCAGATTGCATACTCTGTTAAATTACTCCAGCTTAGAAATTCTTGACAGCATCTCTATAAACAGAAATGGCAAAATAGAAGCTTAAAAGTGCAAAAACCATCCGGAATCTACTCCAAGAAAAAACCCTGTAAAAGCTCAGGCAATAGAGAAGCCAGCAAAAGTATTCTTTTTTTTTTTTTAAGATTTATTTATCTATTACATATACACCAGATTGAATTGTAGATGGTTGTCAGCCACCATGTGGTTGCTGGGAATTGAACTCAAGACCTCTGGAAGAGCAGTCAGTGCTCTTAACCTCTGAGCCATCTCTCCAGCCCCCCAGCAAAAGTATTCTTATTGTGAAGTAAACAGCCTCTCCTTTTGGATGACTGAAAGACATTTCCATTCAATTTTGATGTCTTTAAATGATAGTTAATAGCAACGGGGATGATCCCCATGTGAGTAGCATTCTTGTTCACTTTCTAAAAGATCCCTCTTCACTCATTTAACAGCTTGAAGGTGTTCTTTTCACACAGCGGATGGCAATTGCTCTTCGCTTCTGTAGTCCTTGAGTGACTCGTATAATAGCTGGGTTCTTGTAAGTTTGCTGCCATAGTTGGCGAGTCTGTGGAATTACTGCTATGAGTTTTAGAATTGTAAAACTTCTTGAAAGAATTTTTTCTTTATATATGCACCTTATAGCATTAGCCCTTTGGTCAAAATGTTCTGCTGTTTACCAAAGGGCCTTAATATATTCCTAGTCTGATTTAAATCTCACAGTCTATACTCTCAGATGTAATCCAAGAACTAGGTCTTTATGATAATTTATATTTATTTCTCATTTTTAACGTAAGGCTCTTACTGTAGATACACTTTACTGATGCTTCCCTAATTCAACAATTACTGCTCATTTTGAAAGAAAAACAGACTGATAGATGTTAAGTGGTTTGCCATGGCCGTAGATCTGAGGACGATAATCTGATCATTGATCTAGTTCTTGCCCATTAGCCCAAACTGTTGTATATGATGATACATAACAGATCTTAACCTTTTGGGGCCTCTGGAAAACACTTACATGCACTTGAAAAGGGGTGTATGCTAAGATTTGGCATAAGAAGAGCTCATTTAAAAGGAAGTATTAAGAGCTACAGTGGTTGTTTTGTTGCATTATATTGGCACGCTTGCAAAGCACTATGTAAATAGATACGATATCCTCTTCACTTTCAAGATGAAAAATGATTTTTTTGAGAGAGGGTCTTACTATGTAGCCCTGATTGGCCCAGAACTTGATATGTCCAAGGACTCACAACACTCTGCCCGCCTTTGTCTCCTGAGTGCTGGCATTAAAAGTGGGCATCACATGTCCAGCAAGAATGGATATGTGCTTAAACTAATTTATTTTATGCATTTGAATGTTTTGTCCGTATGTGTGTTTGTTCACTATATGCATATCTGGTGCCTGGTGGCTGCTGAGGCCAAAGAGGGCATTGGCTTCCCTGGAACTACAATTATAGACTGTTGAGAGCCACCACGTGGATGCTGGGAATTGAACCCAAATCTCCTGCAACGGCAGTCAGTGCTCCTAATCATCTTCTAGTCACCCCACCCTGCCCGGATTGATACTGCTTGGAAAAGAAATCTCCACCGTCCCATTATTCCACATCAGCTTTTTGACTGGGTGGGAAGCTCATTGCTGTGTCTGAATTGTTGAACTAGCCTCTGGGTCAGCCTGCCACAGCCTTCAGAATCACAGACACAGTTGAGAAAGGAGAATGCGATACGGAGACTCTCAGGATGTGTCAGAAGATGCATGTGTGAACAGGCCAGTGAGGCAGAATGGCAGTGTGGGAAGTAGTAGGAGTGTAACTGAACTGTTGACTTGTTTATTAGTCACAGCCCTAGGGATTTAACCCAGGGTATTCTGCATGTCGGGCAAATGTTATACCACTGAGCTCCAGCTCCAGCCCTGACCTGGCTTTCATTATTTTAATTAATTAACTAATCAGTTAATTGAATTTGGGGACAAATTCCTGCTACATAGCCTCACAGAGGTCTACCTGCCCTGCTTTCCAAGTGCTGTGTACTGAGAGTTTTTTTCTTTAAAAAAAAAAAGACTATATTTTATGTGTATGTATGTGCCTGTCTGAGTTTATGTGTACCATGTGTGTTCAGGGGCCCAAGGAGGCCATGAGAGGGTATCACATCCCTTGGAACCAGAGTTACAGAAAGCTGTGAGCTGCCATGTGTGTTCTGGGAACCGAACCTGGGTTCTCTGCCAGGAGTAGTAGGCGGTCTTAACTACGGAGCCACATCTGTTTTTTTTTTTTTTTGTTTTGTTTTTTTTTGAGACAGAGTTTCTCTGTGACTTTGAAAGCTGTCCTGGAACTCGTTCTTGTAGACCAGGCTGGTCTTGAACTCACAGATCCTCCTGCCTCTGCCTCCCGAGTGCTGGGATTAAAGGCGTGTGCCACCAATGCCTGGCCGTCTGTGGTTTTTCAACTTGCATGCAGTGTGTGTAGATGATTTATTTATACTAGCACAATGATCCACAGTTTCAAGACATGCTTAGTTCGTATAACAAAGAACAATAAAATGTGCCAAATTGCAAATTTCTCTTTCCTCTGTCCTAAATTAGCCTACATGCTGTTTCCCCCCTCTGTTTCCTCATAAGCTTTTGCCTTTTGTAAATATCCCAGGAGAGAGGTACCTCACAAAGTCATAGGTTTTAGATGCTGATAATTACATGGAGATACACACCACAACCCTTACCACTTAGGCTAGGCTCTAAGAACATTAACCACTTAATTCACACAGTACCCCTGGGAAACTGTGAATAGTGTTATCTCCACTTCCACACTGAAAAAAATTGCAGAAATGCTGGTTAACTTTCCAGAGAGTGGAAAGCTAATGGGATTGTAAATCTGAATGAAGGTTCTATTGTATTCAGATTTGAGGCTCCTTGGAAAAGATATATTTGAAACTATTTGTCTTCTATCATTTTCTTTCTTTTTGTGAAATGTTTTATTAAAATTCTGTTATCAGCCGGGCATTGGTGGTGCACGTCTTTAATCCCAGCACTCAGGAGGCAGAGGCAGGCGGATCTCTGTGAGTTCGAGACCAGCCTGGTCTATAGAGCTAGTTCCAGGACAGCCTCCAAAACAATACAGAGAAACCCTGTCTCGAAAAACAAAACAACAACAAAAAAAGTTCTGTTATCAAAAAAAAGTAGCAATGCTTTTATTTGGTAGCTATTTTGACTTGAAGGTCCCTTTATAACAATCATAAGAAAAGAGTCATCTTCAGAAGTATAACTTTGTGACAACCTTTCCAGTTATAATAAAATGAGACAGGACTTGAGGAAAGTTTATACTAGTTTGAGAACTGGCTGTTTGTCCTAGATTATTTTCTATTGCTGTATTAATGACCATAATCAAAAGCAACTTGGAGAGGAAAGGGATTATTTGACTTACAATCCATCACTGATGGGAGCAGGGACACACACCCGCAGAGAGAGAGAGAGAGAGAGAGAGAGAGAGAGAGAGAGAGAGAGAGAGAGAGAGAGAGAGAGGGGAGAGGGAGAAAGAGAAAGGAGTTTCATGTAGTCTGGGCTCACCGTGTAGCTAAACTTTAGCTTCTCATCCTCCTGTCTTCTGGGGTTTTCTATGCTCAGTGTTCTAAAACATTTCATCATGTATACATGTACATATAACTCTCAAGTGCTAGGACTACAGAAGTGTACCACCATGCCTGGTTATATGCGGTGCTGGGGATTACACCCAGAACCTGTGCATGCTAGCTAAGAATTCTACAAATTGACCTACACCCCAACCTTAGCTTATTTTTCAATAAGTCACTTATACTATTGTGTCATTGGCTTAGCAAACATTTACACACGCACATACACACACACACACACACACACACATTAACTGCTGGTACAAAGAGGCCAAGAAAACGCACCCTCCTCACCCTTGGAAGCAGCAAGCAATTCCTAAACTCTCTACATAAACGAAAATACACAGTCTCTGAATATCACCATTATTTTTGCTCGTAAATTTCATTGATCGATTCTGCTGCCTGGTAAGCTGGCTGTCGCTGTTTTCTGGGCATGAAAAAATAAAGTGTGCCTCTGCCAAAGAGATGGTGCATGGCAGAATGAGAGCTGGTTGGTGTTTTCTGTGTGTGTATTAGACAGTACCACCCGCGGCTCTTATCCGGAAGCCCCCTTCAGGCACTTGATATGACAGCTGGCCAGGTGGATGCCAGAGAACTCCTTCAACAAGCATATTCGTAGCATGAACTCCTCGGGGATTCATGGTCGAAGGAGCAGTTCTCCACTTCAAGTGATGTAACAGGAAGATTTAGGTTCAGGTGCTTTTTGTCCCCTCTCCATGAAGATTTTTCTCTATGAAGTTTAATACTATAGGCATTATTAGGAAGGGATTGAGAGTTGCAGCCACCAGTAAAAGATGAGCTTTAAAAGCGTGTGAGAAGCTGGGTTTGGTGGTACGTGCTGTAACCCTAGCACTTGAAAGGCTGAGGCAGGAGGATCCTGAGTTCAAAGTCAGTCTGGGCTACACAATAAGACCCTGTGTCAAAAATAAAAATAAAATAAACCAACCTTCCCCCCCACTCCCAAATGTACACAAAGTACTTGGAAATGAAGGCAAACATTTTGAATTTATATTCAAGTCTTTGTAGAGCGAAATGTTGTTTTAAAGTGTGTTTATTTTATGTGTGTAAGTGTTGTCAGCATGTATGTCAGCACCATGTTCCTGCCTGGCACTGGAGGAGGACTTCAGAGGGCATCAGATCCCCTGTGACCGAAGTTACTGATGGTTTGTGAACCACCATGTGGGTTCTGGGAACCAAACTAGTCTTCTATAAGAGCAATACACACTCTTAAGCACTGAGCCGTCTCTCCAGCCCCCACAGAATGAGAATTTTGACAAGTAATAGATACTTGCTTTTCTTTCTCTTCATTAAAACATTTCTTCCAGGGTGAAAACATTTAGTACATGAACTACCTTAGAAAAACTTGTTAACCTTGACATTTAACCTTCAAATCGCTTAAGCTTGCCAAACACAGGGACAAATAGAAGTCTTCCAAACAGAACAACTTTATCTAAGGCAGAGGGGATGCAGAGTGGGGGAAGGGAGCCACAAATTCTCAAAT